GGGAGTGAAATGTTGCTAACTGCTGAGCACTGTGATCTTGGGCATTTTTTAGCCCTCTGGGGCTTGGTCTTGTCATCACTGTTCCCATCTCAAGTATATTTTCTATACCACCTACCAATTTTGTCTTCTTTTCCTGAAATTCTTTTCTGCCATATTTAGCCAGAATTGACTTGCTTGCAAGAGGTGCTTGCAACCAAGAATCTTAAGTGTGAAATCAAACTATGTAACTGAAGACATACAAACCTACATGTTAGGGAGGTTATCTCTGGGCAGGTTACACACCCAAGAGTGGACTAGATGGCCCCTAGGGCATCTTCACACTCAACCATCATCAATGTAGACACAATACTTGGCAAAGCTATTCTATTGATCTACTCTCCCATGGAGCAGTATCCTAGTGTTTCTTTTCTTTACTCCATACCATCAGCAATGAACAGTGTTATCCTCCTTAATTGTAGCCAGTATGGGAGATATTACATGGTATTCTGGATAAAATTAACACTTCTCTGGTTACTTATGATGTTAAATTTCTTTTTCTGTCCTTGCTGACTTTCAACTTCCTTCTTTGTAAAATGCCCGTTCATATTCTTTGCTCATTTTCTGTTGGGAAATTTATGTGTTCCTTAGTGCATTGTAGAAGTTCTTTTATCTACTATGTATATTACAAATTCCTTCTGCTTTGGGCTTTTCATTTTGTCTTTTGTACTAGAAATTTAAGTTTTTAACATAGTTGGATAAGTAATCAGCCTTTGCTGTTTTTTGTATATGGTTAAAAAAATCACTTCTTGCATCTGTGTAAACATTAAGCCTTGCTTCCCACATTTAGGTCTTTGACCCACTTGCAAGGTGTTATTTGTGTATTCTGTGAAGCAGGGATCTTATTTTACTTTTTCCATATGCGTAGCCATATGAATGTTTATAAAGAGTCTGAAATCAGGAAAAAATAGTTTCAGTAGGAATAGATTACTCTGAAAGATGCTAACTTTAGTTTAGTAAGAACTTTATAAAAAAGGAATGCTCACAATCAAGACATGAGGATTCATTTATTCAATAACTGCATCTGACCATTTGAACAAAATAAAATCATTTTAACTATGGGAATCTTATAATGCCCAAAATAAATTCCAGAGAAAATTAAATACAAAAGAAGAAACCATTTGAAGATCAGAATAGTAATGGGCATTGTGTTAAGTGAAATTGATCAGGCACAGAAAGATAAATGCCACATGTTCTCACTTATATATGAAATCAATAACTGATCTTGAGCCAGCTGTGGTGGTGCACACCTTTAATCCCAGAACCTGGGAGGCAGAGGCAGGCAGATCTCTGTGAGTGCAAGGCCAGTCTGGTCTACATAGAGAGTTCCAGGCCAGATGTGGCTACAAGGGAGACCCTGTCTCAAAATGTCAACAACAGCAACAGAATTAATCTGGAAAAAGAGAATAGAATCATGGTTAACAGAGTCATGGGAGGGTATGGGCAGTGAGGGACAGGGAGAAAGTAGTTAATGGGCACAGCAGTACAGTTGGGTAGGAGAAATGCCTTCTAATGCCTTATAGCACATAGCACAGTAAAATAGCTATGATAGACAACAATTAATTTAATGATTCCAAATACCCAGGCGACAGGATTTGCAAAGAAATGATGAGGTTCTGAGATACATATATGCAATTGCTCAGAGCTGATAGTTAGATGTGGTGTATATATATTGAAATGTCCAATTTCCCATAAATTATTTTTGTTATGAATATTATCATTTATTTATTTATTTATCTTATTAATTTATTTATTTGAGTCAGGGTTTCCCTGTAGCCCCAGCTGGCCTGGAGCTGGCTGGCTATGTAGACCAGGCTAACCTTAGTCTCACAGAGATCTGCCTGCCTCTGCCTACCAAGTGCTGGGATTAAAGTTGTGAGCCACCATGCCTGGCTTATTTTTCCTTTTGAGAGTTTCATACATGAGTATTATATCTCCCAGCCCCCCTCTAACTCTTCCTGTTTCCCTCCCCCTGTCCCTTATAAGTCATACTAATCTGTGTGACTGTGTTTAGTTAGGGCTGCCCACTTTGAATTACTCTCAGAGAGTTAGTCCCTGGCGATCCCATAAATTCTTCTTTTTAAATTTCTTCTTTTTTAAAAAGCTTTTTTTGGATTTCTTTATTTCATGTGTATGAGTGTTTTTCCTGCATCTCTGTAAGTGTACCATGTATGTGCAATCCCTGAAGAAGGTGTCAAGTCTCTTGGAACCGGAATTACAGATGGTTCTTAGTCATCATGTGGTTGCTGGGAACTGAACCTGGTCCTCTACAAGAGCAGTCTTAAATTGCTGAACCATCTCTCCAGCTCTTATCTCAAACTTTTCAAATGGGTATGTGACAAAGACTTTTTATAATCCAGAAAGCTATATTAATAAATACTTATGACTCTTTCAATGGAGAAGGAAACCAAAAAAGATTTTAAAATATCCAGTAATGAATATGATTAGAAAGATGTGAGCTATATATGAAGAAAACTTGAAAATGTTAATAGAGAACATAAAAAGAAGCTTCAAGTAGATGCTTGCCCCCATTTTTAGAAAGGAAGCATGATAGAGTGTGACAAAATTATTCTGTACATTTAATTCCATGTCACTGAAAATACAGCCTTAATTTTTAACTACTAAAACTAAAGTTTAAGTTTATATTGTAAAATAAATATGAAGAGTAAGCAGGGCTGGGCATATAGCTCACTTGCCTAGTATGCACAAGGCCCTGCGTTCATCTCCAGCACTGCAAGAGAAAAGAGAAAGTAACAAAACAAATCTCATCTAAGATGAGTAACAAGAGAGGAATTATGGCTATTTCCTATTCAACATATTAAGAAGTTGTCATTGCTGAGGTAGTTCTTGGCAAGTGTCTGGGAGAGGGAGCTACTGGGAATGAGGTACTCTGTGGGGACTCTGGGGTCTCACTGTGGGGGGCTCTGGGGTCTCACTGTGGGGGGCTCTGGGGTCTCACTGTGGGGGGCTCTGGGCCTCTACAGAGCATCTGGTGTCACTTAGAATGGAAACAGTATTATTTTTTTTTTAGTTTTATTACAACATTCTTGACTAATAAAAGTTGCATAAATTTTAGGCCAGGCCTGGTGGCCCACACCTTTAAACCCAGCACTTTGGAAGCAGAGGCAGGAAGATCTCTGGGAGATTGAGGCCAGCCTGGTCTATGGAGTAAGTTCCAGGCCAGCTGGGGCTACAGGGAGACCATGTCTCGAACAAACAAACAAAAAATCAAAGAGAAAATTGCATAAATTTAAGATGTACAGTAGGTTTTTTTAAAAATTTAATTTGTTTATTATTTTTATTTAATGCCTCTATGTATGTTAAGTATACCATGTATGTGCAATGCCCACAGTGGCCAGAAGAGGGCATCAGTTCCTCAGGAATTGGAGTTATGGATGGTTATTAGCTACATGTGGGTGCTGGAAACCAAATCCAGGTCTTCTGAAGAACAGCCAGTGCTCTTAACTGCTGAGCTACCTCTCCAGTCCCTAGAGGTTTATTTTTATTAGGTGTATATGTGTGCCTGTATGTGGATACCCTAGGAAGCCAGAAGGTGGCATCATATCCTTTGAAACTGAAATTTCAGGTGGTTGTAAGCTGCCTTAAGTAGGGTGGTGGGAACAGAACTCTGGTTCTCTGAAAGAGCAGTGCATACTCAACCACTAAACTATTTCTCCAGCCCCCAGTGTTATGTTTTGATACACTTGTGCATTGTGAAATGAGTCCCACAGTTAAGCTAATTAGCATATCTACTTCGTGTTTTTAACATTTATGAGTGTGCCGAGAACACTGAAGACCAACAATCTTGCAAGCGTGCACTGCAGTATTGTCCCTGCACTGTATGTTAGGTCTCCAGAACTTTCTCGTTCCACATAATTGAACCTTCGTACCCTTTGACCCTTACTTTCCCCTCTCCTCCATCCTCCATCCACCCTTGGGATCACTATTCTGCTCTCTCTGTTTCTATGAATTCAGGCCTTTTTAGGTTACATATATGAGGGATGCTATTGCATGTTTGTCTTTCTGTGTCTGACTTACTTCAGTTAGCATAATGTTCTCTGTGGCTATTAAAACCAGGCTGAGGACCTGAACACACAGTTCTCAAAAGAACTGCAATGGCCCTCAACATCACTAGTCACCAGGAAACACAAATCCAAACCACATTGGCCAGCCATTATGGAAAACTGTATGGAATTTCCTTTAAAAAGGAAAAAAATCCCCTAAAAACAAAACTACCATAAAAGCCAGCAATCCCACTTTTAGCTGAATTATCCAAAGGAGATGAATCAGTGTCTTGAAGTGATATACACACCATTATGTTCATTGCATTTTTATGAAGCATAGCCAAGGTACAGGACAGCCTGAGTGTCTATCAACAGGTGAATGGATAAAGAAAATGTGAGATGCACACAGACATACTCTGCTATTTATTCAGCCTTTAAAAAGAAGGACGTCATGCCATTTGCAAAATCATGAATGATCCTGGAGGACATTGTGTTAAGTGAAATAAGTAAAATGTTTGTCTTCAACAAATGTTTGCTCGAGGTATAGTATTCACATTCTCTCTGTGCCTATACCCCCTTCTTAACAAGATGCCTGTGCCCCATGCATCCATGCTTCTCAGGATTATGAGAATTGGTCCTAGGGTTTGCTGTTCAAAGTGAGGTTTCTGGACCAGCATCAGCAAGCTGGTTGAAAATGCAGAATCCTAGCTCACCCCCAAACCTGAAATAAAAATCTTCATTTGAACAGCCTCCCTGGGGGATTTTATGCACATAAAAGTTTAGGAAGGGTTGTACTGCACCCACTTTCTTGTTCATGGAATAAAATAACCTATTTATCCATACTTGTTTTAGTGGAACTAAGGTCTATTTCAACGACTGTTGTGTTTTGCATTGTAGTAAAAAAATTATCAGCCGTATATCTGTATCTAGTTGTAACTATTTGTAATTTCTCTCTTTTAGGACACGTCCCAAAGGGTCTCAAATGCCATCCCGACCAGGAGCATCTCGTCTATCCCTTGGGCTGTACAGTCCTTATTCAGGCCATAAATACTAACAAGCAGAATTTCCTACATGGCCATGGTAACAATGTCTCCTGTTTGACCATCTCCAAGAATGGCAATTACATTGCCTCTGGACAAGTCACATTCATGGGGTTCAAGGTAAATAGAAGGAAAAGAATTCACTACATTTATTTAGGGGTGATTTCCTAGAAGAGCTCCCTGACTTCAGATCCCTAGGTGCTTTGCCCTCTCTTCTAACTTGTTTTCGTTCTATCAAGCTGGTCGTGAAGGGCTCTGCTGTCTCTGTACCAGATGTTGCAGCTTGTGGCTGATAATGCTTGGGAAAAAAAGTCCTGGGTAAAAATTGCTTCCATTTTGTTGCTGTCTGTCAGGATTATGCAACGTGATCTAAATATAGGAGAGTGACATTCCTAAATATTTCTCACTAAGAGGGATAGCTAGTCCTTCAGATTCTAATAAAGTCTGCCTGTGAACTGACAGTATATTCTTGCCCCCAGGCAGATATCATTCTGTGGGACTTTAAGAAGAGGGAGCTGATTGCTCGGCTGTCACTGCACAAGGGAAAAATTGAATCACTTGCCTTTTCACCAAATGATCTGTACTTGGTGTCACTAGGAGGCCCAGATGATGGAAGGTAAGAACTAATCCTAGCTACTTTTTTTCTATAAGGTGTATTTCCATAACTATCAAGTATCTTGGCTCCTCCCAGATCCTCTGTTGGTCACCTCCTACTGCTATGTGTGAAAAGTCCATAAGAAAAGTACCTTAGAAGAGTGGTCCTCAGCTCTGACTTCACATACACATCACCTGGAAAGCTCTAGAAAATGCCTGATGCCTGGGTACACCTTCAGAGATTGCTTTGATTGATCTGGGCTGTTTGGGTGATAAAGGCCTCTCAGAGGGATATGCTGCATAGCTAGGGATGGAAAGATGGCTCAGAAGTTAACAGTATTTGCTGCTCTTTCAGAGGACCAGGTTTTGTTTCCAGCATCCACATGGCAGCTCACTACCACCTGCAACTATAGTTCCTCAACTGTCTTGCTTGCATGCATGTATGTGTTCAGTGCCCGGGCAGACCAGAAGAGGACGTCAGAAGTGGTAGAGCTGGGAGAAAAACCCTAGCAGTGTGACTCCAGAAATGAGGTTTTTACCTGCCTCCACAAACCATGATTCTTGCCCTTGATGGACTCAGTCAAGTTTGGTAGACAGAGAACATATACAAAATGAAAATGGAGAAAATATATACACATCTAAAAACACACCCCAGAGCCCTGTGGTGGCACACGCCTTTAATCCCAGCACTCGGGAGGCAGAGGCAGGCGGATCTCTGTGAGTTCAAGGCCAGCCTGGTCTACATAGTAAGTTCCTCTCTCTCTCTCTCTCTCTCTCTCTCTCTCTCACACACACACACACACACTAAAAAAAAAAAAAAAAAAAAAAAAAAAAAACCCCACACCCCAGCTTTCTTACCTCAATTAAAGGAGTTGTTCTCAGCCTGAGGTGCACATTAGAATAACCTGGAGTGATTTTTTTTAAAAAAAGATTTTACTTTGTGTGCATGAATGTTTTGCCTTGATGTATGTAAGTGTACCCATATGTGCCTGGTGTCTGCAGAGGCCAGAAGACAGTGTTGGAGCCCCTAGAACTGGAGTTAAAGATGGTTAGCCACCATGTGGTTGTTGGGAACCGAACCCAGGTCATGTGGAAGAGCGTAAGTGCTCTTAACTACTGAGCCATATCTCCAGCCCCAGATGGAGAGATATGGAAAAATTCTGATGCCTGAGTTTCATGAATGGAGATACGTGGAGCTTTGCCATTAGGGCGTTCCAATATTACCATACTCTTCATCTTGCAACTCAGTTTGCCCTTGGAACCTCTCTGTAAATCTATTCTTTGCAGTGACTGTGGAATTAGATTGTATAGATTTAGCCAACTCACCATTTATATTAGTATGCTCTAATTATTTTAAAAAATTAATCTTATTTCTAAAAGTATCATGGCTATTCTTGACTAAGGTTTATAAAGAAACTGTGCTGTTCTACAGTGGAAAAGGATCTAAGATTCAAAGCATAAGACTACCGATGCCAACTCTCATGTCCCTTTGGCATTAAGGGTTCTCATCTCTGAAGGGCCTTAGATACTATAATTTGTCAATTTTCAGTTACTGTATGCATAATGGGTTTCACTGTGACAGTTTCATACCATATATCATGGTACTTTGTTCCTATTTCTTTCCCTTCCCTCTTCCCTTCCTAGTCCTATAGCTCTACTGAGATATACCTAGCCAAGGCTTACAGTTGAATATTTTTTGTGTATTTACAGAATTTGAAACTATCACCACAATCAATTTCAGAATAATTTCAACACCCATAAAGAAATCCTATAAGTTGCTAGCAGTCTGTGGTGGTTTGAATGAGGATTGTCCCTCTGAGACTCCAAGTATTTGAATACTTGGCCTCAGTGGGTGGCACTGGGGAGGTTTAGGGGGTAGCCTTGCAGGAGGAAGTACATCACTGGGGGAGGACTTGGAGAGTTCAGAGCCTTGCCCACTTCCAGTTCACTCTCTCTGCTTCCGGTGCCTGTTTGAAGATATGAGTGCTCAGCTTTCTGCTCTGGCTGCCTCCTGCCACGATGGACTCTTATCCCTATGGAATCATAAGCCCAATAAACTCTTCCTTCTGTAAGTTGCCTTGGTCATGGTGGTTTACCACAGCAACAGAAAAGTACAGAGTCACTCCACATCTCTCCTCTCTCTAGCCCCAGATAGCCATTAGTCTCTACCCTGTCCTTTCAGATGTGCCTGTTCTGAGCATTCCACACAAATAGAATCATACCATGCATGACTTTTTGTGACTGAATTCTTTCCCTAAGCATAATGTTGCCAAGGTTCACTGATGCGTAACACATTATTGGCATAAATAATATTCAAATTACATTGTATGGACAGACCACATTTTCTTTATCCATGCATCAGTTGATGGACTTTTGAGTCATTTCCATTCTTGTGTGTGTGCTAAGGGTTGAACTCAGGGCCTGACACATGCTAAGAATATGCTCTAGCACAGAACTATACCTCCAGCACCCATTTCTAAACCATTATTAGTGATATGATAATTCATAGTTATTAGTAATGCTGTGAACATGTACAAGCTTTCATGTGGAAGTATCTCTAGATTGACTTTCATTTTCTGTTTTGTTTTGTTTGAGACAGGGGTTCATGTAAGCCTTAAACTCTTTATGCTGCTGATGAGGACCACTTTGAACTCAGTCTTCCTGTCTCCACCTGCCAAGTGTTCGAATTACAGGAAGCACCTAGTTTTAGTGTCTTTGTTGGGTTTGTTTTTGTTTTTTGTTTGTTTGTTTTGTTTTTGGTTCATCATCTAGTTATTATTTTAACCTTTAAAATGCTTTACGTGTCAATTTTCCACACTACATGGTATCTATCAACTTCCTATGCCAAAAAGAATCACCTTTCATACCACTTTCACTTCCTCATTCCTAGTGAGGTTGGTTAGATTTGGGTTTTAAAAAGTACGTGGAAATAGGGGCTTGGAGAAATGGTTCAGGGGTTAAGAGCACTGGCTGCTCTTGCTGAGAACCGGGATTCAGTTCCCAGCACCACATGGCGACTAACAACCACCTATAACTCTAGTTCCAGGGCATCTGATGCCTTCTTCTGACCTCTGAGGGCATTTTCAACATGGCTGCAACTACTTACATGCAAGCAATACACTCATACACATAAAATAAAAATATAAATTACATAGAATAACATTTTATATACAGTAAAATAGGGATGTATAGGTCAGCATACTTTTACACTAACTACGTTTGTAACATTAACTTTCTTTTTCTCTAAATATTTTTAAATGTTTTTAAATTTTTTATTTCTATTTTATGTGTTTGAGTGTTTGGCCTGCATGTATGTAAGTGGAACCATGCTGTACAATGTCCACGGAGACCAGAAGAGGGTGTCATCCCCTGGAACTGGAGTTATGGATCATTGCTAGCCACCACGTTGGTGCTGGGAACTGAACCCTGTGTCCCCTTCAAGAACAGCCAGTGCTCTTAGCCATTGAGCCACCTCTCCAGCCAAACCTTCTTACATTAAAAAAAAATTTTTTTTTTTTTGCTGGAGTACTTTCCCAAGACAAAAAAAAAAAAAAAAAAAGTTTTTTTGCCAGCTCAGAGAAGCCTTTATTGGGCCTATTGTCATAACACCAGAGGGGGATAGTTTGTAGAGGAGAAGCCTCCAGGCTAAGCAAAAATAAGGTGCTTACAATAAAGACCTAGCAAATTAACATTCTGGGGTTGTTGGTGGTGTTTTTTGAAAAAAAATTTAAGATTTTAAAATTGTACTCATTATTTTATGTGGGTGTGCATATGCTGCAGAGCACATATGGGGGTCACAGGGTAACTGAGCAGTTCTATCCTTCCACCATGTGGGTCCCAGGAATCGAACTCAGGTTGTCAGACTTGGTGGCAAGTACCTTTACCCACTGAGCCATCTCTTAGCCAGAAAAGAAAAATTAAGAGCCCACAGAGGCCAGAAGAGGGCATTAGATTCCCTGGAACTGGAGTTAGAGGAGGTTGTGGGAACTGAACTCTGGTCCTCTGTAAGAACAACAAGTGCTTCTAACCACTGAGCCATTTCGAAAGCCTCAAGGAAAAATTTTATATGAGATGAACACTTGGTTCATTTTACTGCTTGCATGTCTGAAAATGCCTTTATTATAACATTGGGCTTGATTGATGGATTCACTGGCTTCTAGCCTCAGAATCATCTTCCTTCAAGTTTTTAAAGTGTCACCTATTTGTCATCTAATAATCAGTGTGATTGAGGAGATGTTTTTTGGGGGGGGGTCAGTGTGATTTTTTTTTGTTCCCTCATTAATATTTCATTTTGTTCTTTTTCTTTTTAAAACTACTAAAGCGGTTGTTTGTTATTGTGAAAGTCTCATTTCCCCTGTTATTTTTTTTCCCCTTCTTGTTTCTGCAGTGTAGTGGTTTGGAGCGTAGCCAAGAGAGAAGCCATCTGTGGCAGCCCTGCGGCAGGGCTCAGCGTTGGCAATGCCACCAACGTGGTGTTCTCAAGGTGCCAGGATGAGATGTTTGTTACAGCTGGAAAGTAAGTCTCTGCAGTGATAGTGTCAGGACTTATAAATTACCATGTCGGCGGCACAGAAAGCATGCTCATGCCAGTTCCAGGAACATGAATTGAGTCATGATCAAATGCCTTAAGTTGTAATTTTTTTAAAGTTTTTTTTTAAGATTTATTTTTATTTTTAATTATGTGTATGCTCTCCTGGGGAAGGGGAGCATTTGCACGTGTGCAGAGGCCAGAAGAGTGTCAGATCCCCTGGAGCTGGACTTACAGGCATTGCTAGCTGCCTGATGAGTGCTGGGAATGGAAATCAGGTCAATCAGGTCCTCTGGAAGAGCAGTATGTTTTCTTAACAACCGAGCCATCTCTCCAGCCCTCTCATGTCATACTTTTTTTTTTTTTGGTCTTTTTGAGACAGGTTCTCCCTGTAGCCCCAGCATCCTGGAACTCACTATGTAGACCAGGCTGGCCTTGAACTCACAGAGATCCACCTGCCTCTGCCTCCTGAGTGCTGGGATTAAAGGCGTGTGCCACCATGCCCTGCACGTCATGCTTTTTGAAGTCAGTGAAAATCGTTTCAGTGGGATATATTTAAAATATGCTCTTTGAAAATGATGTGACTTTACTGGAAAGATTATGCTGAATGGCTAAACTCTTAAATAATTTTAATTAGCTATTTATGTGTTTATTATGTGTATGTGTATCAGAGCAGGTACCATGGCAAACATGTGGAGGTCAGAGGACAACTTGTGAGAGTCCATTCTCTCTTTCCACCTCTCTTTCCATGTGGGGCCTAAGGATTGAGCTCAGGTGTTGTTAGCAAGTGCTTTTACCCACTGAGCCATCTTGCTGGATCTAAAGTCTTCTTAGGGTCTTTTTTTTTTTTTTGTCACCGAAAAGACCTGATTTCCAATCTGTGCTCACTAATTTGCACAATCGCACCGATTCACATTGCTTGATATTTCTTATGCTCCTGCTCTTGATTTAGGTCTCATGAATCGATATTTTGCAGAAGAAGTTTCAAATGTTTAAGCTATTAGCTATGGGCCATAATTTCTGGGAGGGTCGGTTTCAAGCAGCCTATGATGAGCAAACTGAACACCTGAGCAGAAGCCTGCAGCTGTCCACCCCATAAATTGGCTTACAGATTGACAAGTAGAGCCTTGCTTGGTGTTTGAAGGGAAGGAGAAGCATGTGTGAAGGCGCAGCCCCTCCCTCCCCAGGTTAAAGGCAAAGGATACGCTAAGTGAGACTACTTTTTCAATTCCTCTGTCATCTCCCATCCATGAAAGGTACACGCTGTTCGTTTCTTTCCCAGCCAGAGTAAAGAATTTTTGCAGATCTACATCTGTAGTATTTCCTGTCCCTACCTAGTGACACACAGCCCTCATTATTTCATGGTTGATCATGAGGAAGGATTCATTGAGAACCCTGAATTCCTCTGCAGCTGTGAAAAGGCCATTCCTGCCGGCAGATCACATTAGGACCCCGCCCGGCTCTGCCTACTGAAGCTGCCTGAACCTGAAACTCTTCAGCTCCCTCCTGGTCTGCAGAGTGACTTGACTCTGCTTCCCCAGTTCTTTGGTTCCTTTATCAGCTGAAGACATCAGTCCACGGCCCATTCAAATGTCTGAGCAGCATTTCTCCAGGAATCTAAACTGAAGTTTTGTGAGAAAAACAAAAGTTTTTGAATCATCTGTATTTCCAGTCTGCTTTAGTTTCATATGACACTCGTACTGGGAATGTTGGCACTCTTAAGGTTTTTATTATGGCACCAGTATACCCGGGTTTCTCTATCACAATCCCAGTTTAATGTATTCCATATGGTCCCCATGAGATGGCCTGCAAATCTCATGGTTTCAACAGCCAAATGATATCTACCAGTAAGGCCATGAAAGAGCTCTTTTTTTTTTTTTTTGAAAAATACATTTACATATTTATTGAGCAATTGCTATGTATACAGTTCTCTAGACAAAATAAAGAAAAATTAATACTTTCTGCTTTGAGATATTGGCTGAACTCTGTACTTTGTCTTGATATTTTTATACAATTATTAATTCAGATTAACTCAATGTACAGCAATAAATACCAGACATACATCAAGTGCTGTGTTAAGTACTAACAAACTTGTACTCCCTTGGTCTCATTTCTTTTTCTTTGAAGACAGGACTGTTCATATTAAAGTGTTCCCTGCTAACAAAGATGTGGTGGTTCCCTTCTGTAATTCCAGCACTCGGGAGGTAGAGACTGGAGTTCAAGGCCAGCCTCGGCTACATAGTGACTTTTTAGCCAGTCTGGATTACATGATAGCCTGTCTCAAAACAAACAAGAAAAAGAAAAAGTATCTCCTTTTGAAATTTTCTGACACAGCTGAACACCTTGATTTATTTCTCCTGACTGAAATTTGATGCCCCAAACAAACACCTTTCACTCTCCCACCCCCACCCAAATCCTCTGGTACATACCACTTAGATTCCATGTGAGTGACATCATGCAGTATTTGCTGTGCCTGGCTTAGTTCACCTAGTATAATGTCTCCTTTCTTAAGGTTTCCCTTTATATAGATGTACACTTTCCCTATCCATTCATCTATTGAGGAGCACTCTGTTTACATCACAGTAACTACAGCTAATAGCAGTACATACTATATGTACACACAATATATATTAAATAACACACTGAAAATTGCTGTGAATAGATTTCAGGTGTTTTAACTACAAAGAGATAGGTATGTGAGTTAAGGCATGTGCTTGGTAGCTCAAGTCAGCCATGGCACAGTGTATACATGTATCAAGTCATGTGCATACCATAAATGTATGACATTTTTGCTTGTCAGTAATAAGAGAAAAAGAATGAAAATTAAGAACTTTGATTTGTTCTCTGTTTGCTTATCTTATTTTTATTATTTTTTGAAACAAGTTCTCACTATGTAGCCCTAGCTTGTCTGGACACTCACAGAGATCCACTTGCCTCTGCCGCCTAGGTGCTGGGATTAAAGGTGTGAGTCACCATGTTTGACTTTTTGCTTGATTATATGCATGCTTGTTTTCAGTAAAGTAGGCAAGTAGTCAGAGTACACATTACAATGTGTGTGTGTGTGTGTATGAGAGAGAGAGAGAGAGAGAGAGAGAGAGAGAGAGAGAGAGAGAATGCGCCTAAGGTGTAAGTCTGTGCTACCTCACTTAGAGAGTCAGGGATCATAAAGACTACCTTGTAGGGTTGCTGTGAGATTGAATGGAAGGCTCTCCATCGTGCTATTTTTAAAAATTCTCAAAAATGTTCAGTTTTCTTCCTTTTAGCTTCTCCTTCAAGAGAATAAAGACAAACCTAAAATCTGTGAAGCAGCATTGAAATGGGTAACCATTCAATTGTGACTTTTCTTTACAGTGGGACGATTCGAGTATGGGAACTGGATCTCCCAAACAGAAAAATCTGGCCAACTGAGTGCCAAACAGGACAGATGAAAAGAATAGCCATGAGTATTGGAGTAAGTGTCACTTCAACTGTTACTATAAGTGACTGTCAGCACAACTTCCTGCCAACTGTCTTGACCAAGGGTGTGTGCTAGGCTGGAGAGAAAGGAGGCTTGGACCTGTGACTGTTGATGAGGTATAGGAAAGAGGGAGCATCATTCTGGGGCTCCCTTCAGGAGCTGGAGCTGTCTAGGTACAGCCCTGGGAGGTTCCATTAGACTAGAACCTGAGCTGTCATTGGACACTGAAAGCCTGAACAGGAGGCAAGCAGTGTGGCCAGGTGGCCCTGGGAGCCCACAGCACTGCTCACTGCCACCATTGTTATTTCTTCTACTGGAAATAAAGTTTCTGACAATAAAATTCATTGTTGAAATGCAGAGTCATCCACAAAGAGAAACTATTAGTATGTGCTGGATATGGGTTTATAATTCATATATAGAATTCCATGCTCCATTGACCTATTTGTCCTATTTAATGCATAGTACTTTTATGAACATAGCCTTTGAAAACTGAGATAAAGCAGTATGTATCCTCCAAGGAGAAGCACACCTTTATCCCAGGAGCCCTTTGGAGGTGTCTCAGCACTTGGCACTGGCCATGAATGTTAACATCACACCATAATGGGCATCAAGTGAAATGCATAGCCCAGCATCTATCTCCTCCAGGTCCATGTGTGGCCCTGACTCTCCTCCTCTCACAGCTATGCTTATCCACCTTTGAGACTGGGAAAATAGATGCAGCCGTGAACATCTTTGCAAATTGTCATGGAGTTTCATCCCCTCCCTGATCCAAGCTGCCCTAGACCACTGGGAGACCCAGGTCTTCAGGTCTGTTTCTGTTCTCCCAGATGGCAGGTGATGATAGCTTTTTCTACCTCGGCACCACGACTGGGGATATTCTAAAAATGAACCCAAGGACCAAACTACTGGCAGATACTGGGCCTATGAAGGACAAGTTTAGCTTGGTGAGTATAGCCCATGAAGGTACCATCTGATCTTCCCTGTTATTTTCTTCCTTCCACTGGCAGAGAGGGAATCCAGGAAGAGACCAGGACAAGATTCTAAGGCATATATCCAATGACCTGCTTCCTCTAACTGGGCCCCACCTCCCATGCTTGACCAGTTTCAAAACTGCCATGGCATTATGTACTTACCACATGATTAACCCACTGATTAGGTCAGAGCCCTCAGAAGCTGTCTCTGGACACCCCCCACAGCCCAAATCCAGAGGTCTCCTTTACTGACTGCTAAGGATTTCTTAAGCATCAGAAATCAGGAATATCTCTAATCAAGCTGAAAACCTAAATTAATCATCACACTTGATCTCAAAAAAAAAAAAAAAAAAAAAAAGGTAAGTATGCAATGGATTGAGGCCACACCCAGATTTGCAAACTGTGCAAGCTGGTTCTCCAAGATCTCAACTCTGGTTATTTTCAGGCCAAGGACATTCCTAAGTGTCACTCTAAGGAATCAGTACCTTGACATTTTTCACCTCTTCTTCAAAGCACGGGATCTGTTTCTTCATCTGTTTGAAGAAACATTGTTTCCAATCTAGTTGCTATGCATAAGAGGTGTGTGCTTTTTGATCTATATTTTTTCAAGTCTAATAACTATTTGATTTTAGCCTCAACTGATGTGTTTTAAGTCATTCAGGAGATCAGTAAATAACTGTTCATAGTTGTAGAATTTATAACAATTCTGATTAAAGACCCACCATCAAATGATGATTTTATATAATAAGTGCTGCTATTTCTAGCACCCCCAGAAAGTTCTGAGTGCTGTTTCCACTAAACTTCAAATTGGAAAGTTTGTGCTAAGTTCTGCACCTGCCTGTCTCATTTCTGATATCAGAACAGATGGTTCTCACTAAGCATAGCTACTTTTCTACTTAACAGACATTCTCAGGGAACTTTGAAATACTACACAGTCCCCTTAGGAAAATGTCAGTTTTGTTAATCATATCATTTAATATTCACACTTTTAAGGAAATCTATAAAAATGGGAAGAAACCCTGATATAGATAAAGGAATATTTAGAAACAACTCTACAGGAGATCAAAGTGTAGCTTAGATCAATGTTTTTCAAATTATTTGGGGGAAATGGATTCTGATACAAAGCAGATCAAGCAAGGCAGATCCAAGGAAAGGAAGACAAAGCCAAGAATCCTGCCAGTTTCAAGTCCTGATATGCCTCCAAAAACCCCAAAGACATTATTTGAAAACTGCTTATGGGCATGTTTATTTTTCCTGCCCATCACTTGGGAGCTAACTGCCTCTCCAGGGCACAAGCTGGCTGTTGCAGTGTCCCAAAAATCTTTGGCACTTAAGTCTCCTACCAATTCTTTCATTCCTAATCATTTCAGGTCTGATGATAACGTCCACAAAGCAGTAATTCCAGGACACCTTTTATGATTGGAAAGAAAATCATACTTGTGGGATGAAAAGATAGGAGGTGTCTCTGAAGATATCTGTTTGGATATCAAATGATCTTAGGAAATAATTCATTCCGAAACTTCACTTAAATGTTTGTTCTATGAATAGAAAGCCAAAGAACTGGGATGGCTCAGAATTGACCCATTAGATGTACAGCCTTCCTCTGACTCTTACACTCTTTCCACCATCCTCCTTCCCAAGAGTCCTTCAGCCTTGGAGGGGGCTACATACATGTAGGATGATGTTCCTCTCACTGTGGCAAGATACTGAACCTTTGGACCTTTTCATCATTTGCTTCCCAGATGTGGCTGTTGGCCCATTTCAATGATATTCATGCTACTATAAAAACGTAAGTGAAAAGAAGCAGGAATATCTGAATAAACACTGTATTAGTCAGGGTTCTCCAAAGAAACAGAACTGGTAGAATGAATATATATGTATAGAGATTTGTCAGCTTAGCTCACAGGATAGAGTCCGAATAGTCCAACAATGGCTGCACCACACTGGAGAGGCTGAGAATCCGTAGTCGCTCAGTCCCCGAGGCTGGATGTCTCAATAGTCCCAATCTGACACTGAAGGTCTGACAAATTCCAAAAGATCAGCTAGTCTTCAGTCTA